TCGTTAGTGGTGTGGGGGGCTCTGGGTTTGTAGTTGGTGATCTGCCTGAGCCATCTCCAGACAGAAGCAGCGTCGTTAGTAGAGAACTGGTGTTTTAGTGTCTCTGAGTACAGTCGTTTAGCCTCTCTCACCGCTTTGCTAAACCTGTTCTTCGACTCCTTGAATCTGTCTCTATCCCCACTCCTAAAAGCTTCCTCCTTCTCCAACCTCAACCATTTGAGCTTTGCTGAGAACCAGGGCTTGTTGTTGTTAAAGTTCACCCTGGTACGTGTTGGGATACAGCAGTCCTCACAGAAGCTGATGTAGGACGTCACAGCCTCTGTGAGTTCATCCAGACTATTGGTAGCATATCCCAGTCAGTACAGTCTAAGCACGCCCGCAAATCTATCACAGCCTCACTGGTCCACTGTTTAGATGTCCTCACAGCAGGTTTACAGAGTTTTAGTTTCTGCCTGTATGCAGGAATCAGGTGGACCATGGCATGGTCAGAGTGTCCTAGTGCTGCTCGGGGGACGGCGTGGTAGGCTCTACTGACTGTAGTGTAGCAGTGATCCAGAGTGTTCCCTTCTCTGGTTGGGCATTTAATGAATTGTATGTATTTGGGGAGTTCGTGGCTGAGATTACCTTTGTTAAAGTCGCCAAGTACGATAACCAACGAATCTGGATTTGCTCGCTCCACACTCAGAATCTGATCGGCGAGCATGCGTTGGGCCTCTTTAACCTGAGGACAAGGCGGCAAATAAACTCCGACCAAAATGAGCGACGCGAACTCGCGAGGCGAGTAAAACGGTTTACAGGTTATAAAAATTGATTCAAGGAGTGGAGAACAATGTTGCAGATTCACTGTGACATCTACACACCAGCCACTGTTAATGTAAAAACAAATACCACCTCCTTTCGTCTTGCCGGAGAGTGCTATGTCACGATCCGATCTTACAAGATGGAATCCTGCTAGTTGTAGCGAAGTGTCCGGAATCAAATGACACAGCCATGTTTCCATGAAGCACAAAACAGAATATGAAAGAAAGTCTTTGTTTTTTACCATCAGTAGCTGAAGTTCATCCATTTTGTTGTACAGTGAACGCACGTTGGAGAGGAAAAAGCTCGGAAGCACTGTTCGGATCCCGCGTCTGCGTAGCCATACTAGAGCCCCCGACCGTTTACCCCTTGGGCGGCGTTTCGCTGCTTGAGCAAAGCCTAGCGCGGCATTGACTAGAATGCCTACTAATTCTGCCGCTGGAAGCAGAAAAGTAGGAATTAAATCCACAGGAGTTGTTTCCCTGATATATAAAAGTTCGTCTCTTGTTAGAGAACTCCGAAAATCTTGGCAAAACGCTGATTTGACAGACAGAACAAGACAAAACAGGGCGCACCGACCGGCTGAGGCTACCATCATCGGCGCCATCTTCGCACCAGCACGGGTGTGCTGAACAGCAGGACTCTCTCACCAGCACTGGTGTGATGAACAGTAGGCCCCTCTCACCAGCACGGGTGTGATGAACAGTAGGCCTCTCTCACCAGCACGGGTGTGCTGAACAGCAGGCCCCTCCCACCAGCACGGGTGTGCTGAACAGCAGGCCCCTCTCACCAACACGGGTGTGATGAACAGCAGGCCCCTCTCACCAGCACGGGTGTGTTGAACAGCAGGCCCCTCTCACCAGCACAGGTGTGCTGAACAGCAGGCCCCTCTCACCAGCACGTGTGCTGAACAGCAGGCCCCTCTCACCAGTACAGGTGTGCTGAACAGCAGGCCTCTCTCACCAACACGGGTGTGATGAACAGCAGGCCCCTCTCACCAGCACGGGTGTGCTGAACAGTAGGCCCCTCAAAACGGGTGTGCTGAACAGCAGGCTTCTCTCACCAGCACGGGTGTGCTGAACAGCAGGCCCCTCAACAGCAGGCCTCTCTCACCAGCACAGGTGTGCTGAACAGCAGGCCCCTCTCACCAGCACGGTTGTGCTGAACAGCAGGCCCCTCTCACCAGCACGGGTGTGCTGAACAGCAGGCTCCTCAACACGGGTGTGCTGAACAGCAGGCCTCTCTCACCAGCACGGGTGTGCTGAACAGCAGGCCCCTCAACAGCAGGCCTCTCTCACCAGCACGGGTGTGATGAACAGCAGGCCCCTCTCACCAGCACGGGTGTGATGAACAGCAGGCCTCTCTCACCAGCACGGGTGTGTTGAACAGCAGGCCCCTCTCAAGACAATACTGGACAAAACAGGGCGCACCAACCGGCCGAGGCTGCCATCATCGGCGCCATGGTCGGAACAGAGGAGGAACAAACAATTTCGATGTGAATGTTATTCTATCGCTCCATCTCCGCGGTTGCTCGTCCTCCGTTCACGGTCAGAATGGGGCATCCTGTACCCCGCGTACCGTTGGCTAATTATCGTCGTGCAGTGATAATGGAACGTGAAGACGCGACGACTTCATGGGCCGCCTTCGCCCGGGCTTGATCACTCGGGCCTCGAAACTGAAACTAAACTCAACTACAAAGTATTTTTATTTTACCAGGTTAAGGCCCACTTTTATGGAAGCGGCCTGGCCACCACAAATGGTAGCCCAAACGAAGTGGCTTGTCATCGTGTGGGAAATTTATAGCAGCGAAATACTCTAACCGCGTGTTTCCAAATGTGGAGGGAAAAACCGGAGGGCCCGTAGAAAAATCCACGCGACCACAGGGAGAGAGACTCCAAATATACAGCAGCAGCAGGCTTCGGGGTCGGGATCGAACCCACGACCTCCTGTATACCAGGCGAGGTAGTTAACATCTCCGAGCCACCGCGGCGTCCATTTCAGCCTCCCGCACACCCTGCCTTCTAAAGGCGGGAAACCCCCATCTTTAATGCGCGCGACGAGCTGGGCATCGCCAACCCCACGCCCGTCACCTCCCGTCCAGCGGCACACGTGGGAGGTTAGATTAGTCGAGCGACGGAGCCTGACGGTCGCCGACGATATCGACGTGCCCGGCGAATCGATAGTCCAGCTCGGTATGAATCAAACGGACGGCTGCGTCGATCCTCCCCCCCCCACATACCCTAGGATCCGGAATCCCGCGATTTGAAACGGCGTGACTCTGCATTAACGCTTTTTTTCCGCAACCCTGTCATGCCAGAAAAAACACAGCGCAAAATATATGAAATCTAATAACGGTGAGAAAAGAACAAAAAACTTTTCCTTGTATGTATTTATCCACTCTCCCTCTACGAGGCCCTGTGTGATTCATTATTTACTTGCATTATAAGTTGACGAGGTCAGTAAAAAATTTGAAATTTTGAGAGTAATAACAATGGCAATAAAAAAAAACCCCCAACACCGATGTTGAGACTCCCACGCTTTGCCGGGCGCCGCCGAGTGGAAGGGTTTCCCCCGAGAGAAGGGGGAGAGGAACCAGCGAGCCAGCGAGTCAGCCAGCTTGGCTGGTCGCGTGAGAGGTGGCCGGTCGGTGGCTCGGCCGGCCGGTCACTGTGGGAATCCTCGCCGCCACCAACTTCCCAGAAAGCGGTTTTCACGCCGTCGGCAAAGTTACTGCCAATTCGCGAGGGTGCTCGCCCCAGCTGCCCCCCCCCCACAACAGGCTTTGAAACGAAAACAAAAAAACAAATTGCTCAAATATAATTACGAAAAAACATGGAACCCCGCGCATTTTTTTCGAGCGAATATTGGCGAACGGATGATTCGAGGTTTTTCCTTCCGCATTTAAAATCAACATCACGCCTTTCAAGAGTGTTTGGCTGTCATAGATTTCCACGCGATAAGCCACTTCGTTGTGCTTTCGTTTGTGATGGCCAGGTCGCTTATGAAAAAGAGCTACATTGCTCAGTGGGCCTTACCCCGTGAAATTAAAAGTTAGTAAAGAGTTAAACCAGTTCGAGGCTCCGCTCCCAACCCACTTTCACCAGCCGCCACGCTGACCAGCGTGGTGAAGTATGGCCAAACAACTCCCGTGACCGACAGGGCCTTCGTCCCGCAGACGACTGGCGAAGGCCTATACGCTGTACGTGTTTCTGTACAGCGACGGACAACATTCAGATGACATACTTACGCCTCATCAACAGCAGCAGTGAGGCCTTCTTGAACAAGAGCTTGTACCCCGTGGCTTGTGGGGGGGGGGGGGCGATTCGCCATGCATAACAGGCGTTATAGGCTGCCACGGTGCTACTTTGTGGAAAGCACAGCAAAGTCTGTTTGCTGTACTGTACTTCCACGCTTCCCTGCACCTTCAACCAACCCGGCGCTGGGCAGCGTGGAGCAGTATGGTCCGGTAACCCCGGCGGCCCGCACGCCGTGGCAGAACGCCGCCCTCCAGCAGCGGATCACAACCTGATCTAATTTAATATTTACTCACGCAGATCGCCTTCACTCGAGACGCTTGGCATGGTTCTAAGGCAAACGGTGGCAATAATGGAGCGATTTCGGTGGCACGGAGCGTGATACACGGGTTGTGGAATGAGTGGCCGTGGTAGAGGGGGGTTACTTAGGGATTTCCGAAAGGGGAGGGGAGATGGCCAAGATAGAGGGGCACGTCGGGATCACGCAAGGGTAGGGGAGGGACGGGGAGGAGCGCGGAGGGGCGAGGTGAGGGAAGAGAAAGAGAATGGGCAGCAGAGGGGTGGTGGCGAGGCTTCAATAAGAGAGGACTCAATCTGTACCAGCAAATCAAACGTGGACTGGTGTAGCGGTTTAGCGATACGCTGCGCCACGAACCCGGCTACCCGGGTTCGATTCCCGCTCACGGCCAACACCGGTGACGGTTATCTGAACCGGTCCTGGGCCTCCCCTAGGTCGACTCGGCCTCAAATGAGTACCTGGAGCGGTGTGTAGTAAACATCGCCACTGGGGAGACAAAGGCTGTCGGGCGTGGTGCTGGCCATCCACCCACCCCCTCGTGTGCCGTGCCGGCCTTCAGTAGGTGCTACTCGCAATCAGCACTTGCCCCAACAGTCTGTTACAGGCTACACGGGGGATCTTTGTCTTTTGTCTGCGTCTCTCTCACGCAGGACCTCACGGCGCTGATGATGCAAGAGCCCAGAGCGAGGGACGGGGGCAGCGCCGAGGGCCTGGAGGCCCCGGGATCCCCCGAGGTGGGGAGCGACGCGGAGGAGAGCGACTACCAGAGGCTCCAGCTAATGCAGCTCATCCCGTACCTGTGCGAGAAGTTGGGCCACGGAATCCTGCAGAGAACCACTCAGGTGAGCGTGGCTACGCGTGTGTCCGTGCGTGTGTCCGTGCGTGTGTGTGTCCGTGCGTGCGTGTGTGTCCGTGCGTGCGTGTGTGTCCGTGCGTGCGTGTGTGTCCGTGCGTGCGTGTGTGTCCGTGCGTGCGTGCGTGTGTGTGTATGTATCCGTGTGTGTGTGTGTCCGTGCGTGTGTGTGTGTGTCCGTGCGTGTGTGTCCGTGCGTGTGTGTGTCCGTGAGTGCGTTTGTGTGTCCGTGAGTGCGTGTGTGTGTCCGTGAGTGCGTGTGTGTGTCCGTGAGTGCGTGTGTGTGTCCGTGAGTGCGTGTGTGTGTCCGTGCGTGCGTGTGTCCGTGCGTGCGTGTGTGTCCATGCGTGCGTGTGTCCGTGCGTGCGTGTGTCCGTGCGTGTGTGTCCGTGCGTGTGTGTCCGTGTGTGCGTGTGTGTGTCCGTGCGTGTGTGTGTCCGTGCGTGTGTGTCCGTGCGTGTGTGTCCGTGCGTGTGTGTCCGTGCGTGTGTGTGTCCGTGCGTGTGTGTGTGTCCGTGCGTGTGTGTGTGTCCGTGCGTGAGTGTGTGTCCGTGCGTGTGTGTGTGTCCGTGCGTGTGTGTGTGTCCGTGCGTGTGTGTGTGTCCGTGCGTGCGTGTGTGTCCGTGCGTGTGTGTGTGTGTCCGTGAGCGTGTCCAGTGACTACAGGAGGGGTCACAGCTGGTGCGTCTGCCAGTCATCTCTGTTAGCCCATGGCACCTGGGTCTGTCACGTGAGCTCCTGCCAGCAGCGAGCCTGCGACACTTCACGTGACCTCAGGGCGCACCTAGCCTGGCACAAGCACTTTTGAGATGTCACCGCCACTTATTGCTGAATGGAAACTGTTGTTGCTGTTGCGTGTGAGTCCCTGTCAGCCAGGTGTTGGTGCTTGCCACGCAACCCCCTCGTGCGCCGTGCCGGCCTTCGTAGGCGCTCGCCAACAGCACTTGCCCCAACAGTCTGTTAAGGCTACGCGGGGGATCTTTGTTTAGTGCATGGGGGGCCAGCCGTGCAGTGCGCTACCAACCCGGTGACCCGAATTCGATTCCCGCTCGCAGCCAAACATCGGTGACTGATATATAAATCAGTCCCGGGCCTTTGTCCATTTGCCCGTCCGTGTGCGCGCGCATGCCCCGCCAATTCATCTTGCAACATTATACAAACTAAGCCTCCAATGCGAACCAAAACCGCCCGTCTGCCAGCAGCGTCACGATAATCTGGCCTGCCCGAGCACCGTTGGCAGCTTGCAACGTACGGATCACAAAAAAAAAACACACCGGGGTCCAACTAATAAAGAAAACGGAGCAAAAATCCGAAGAGTGCACCAAGGAGCGTGGAGAGAGGCTCACACTTGGAGGAATTCACCTTTGTGTGGGCACAGAGGAACACGCGGCTCGGCAAACATTGGCAAGTCGGCGACGACGGTCGCACTGAATGTTAGGAAAAGTTCACCGGGCTTGGCCCCTTGATGTATTGACAATTTGCAAGGCGCTTCGCGAAACCGAGTTTGTTGTTGTTTTTGTTGTTACTGCTGCTCGTCACGCTCAAGCGACAGTCGGCGGTCGGGACGGACGACGGAGCGCAGAGCGAGAAGTGGGGGGGCCAACGCGGCAGAGAGAGCGACGGACGGCCCGCCCCCCCCCCCCCCCCGCCCGACCCTCTCCTCCACCCCCCCCCCCCACCACGAGGTCGGCTACGGTGCTAAAAACCCGCGCGGGGTCTTTTTTTTTTTGCGCCATCGCGGTCGCGGGGGGGGGGGGGGGGCCTCGAGGTTCCCGTTGGCTACAAACCGCGGCCTTGCGGACGAATCGGTGGCGGCCGCCCGACCGCGGTCAGGCTCTCCGGCGGCCCCGACGGCGGCGGCGGCGGCGACGGGGCGGAGGTCGCGTGGGGGGGGGAAGGGCGGCGGGCACCGCACGCGGGCAACCGCCGCGACGGGGCACGTACGCCCGCGTGCACGCGGCCGCTCTTGGGCACGTGCGAGCGCGCGCTGTGCGAGAAGTGAAAAGGACGCGAGGGAGCGAACGCGCAGCGGGGCCCAGCTGTTGGGCATCACGTCGGGCCCGGGAAAACAAATGTCCACTGTTTGTTGGGAGCATTTAAAAACTCTCGTGGGGATCCTCCCGCCTCCACCCCCCCACCCCCCCCACCCCACCGCTCGCAAATCACGCGTTTACTCATTACGAACGACGTCTTTTAGGCCCCGGAGTAAAATATCACTCGCAAAAGCCCCCGCCGCAACGCTTGCGGTTACACAGCGCTATTGTGTTACGGCACCGCGAGTCGGCTCCGGCGGCGCTTGCGTTGCTCTCCGCTCGCGTTCGTGACGTGGGTCTCCGCCCACCCCACCCCCCCCACATCAATCGCTCCCCCCCCCCCCCACCACGACTCCGCGCTCGAGAGGGATTCCTCTGCTCTTTCTCTCCGCTCGTGCGATTACATCATCCTCTCCTCCTGCTCCTGCTGAGGCCGCTCCGGGTTTATTTACGCGTGATTAGCGGCAAGCGGCGCGTACGTTGGACGCCGCCGGCGGACTGTGAATGGCGCGCATTGTTGCCGGCCGACCGGCCGGCGCGTGCGAGAGAGAGAGAGATGGTGAGAGATGTGGAGAGAGGGAGAGAGAAAGATGGAGGGAGATATTGAGAGATTGAGAGAGGGCGATGGAGAGAGGGAGAGAGATGGAGTGAGAAATGGAGAGAGGGGAGACAGAGAGGGAGAGAGAGCGAGAGACTTTTTGACTCTTAAACAACTTTTATTGCCGCCAGCAGCAACAGCACTGGAGGCTATTCCGATACGAAATCCACAAAGTCACCAGCAACACAAATAACACAAGCACTATAAAACCACGCGCTGTGGCGGTAAATGTGCCGCGCACAGCACGAAACAGTCACGTGGTGGTGGTGGTGGTGGTCATCGCGCACGCCACGCCGACGAACGAGCACTTTAGAAGGCGAAGATGAAGGTGCCGTTCACGCTGGTACAGAGGGCCCTGCGGAGAGAGGGAGATGGAGAGGAGAGAGACATTGAGAGAGGGGGAGAGAGAGAGAGATTGAGACTTTTTTGACTTTTAAACCACTTTTATTGCTGCCGGCAGCAGCAGCAGCACTGGAGCCGATTTCGGTACGAAACACAAAGTTACCGGCGACAAAATAACCTGAACACCAAATAAAGCCACGTGCTGCGGCACGTGGTGGCCCTGGTGGCGGCCGTGGTGCCGGCGACGTCCGGCATTCTTTTCCAGCGCGTTTTTAAGGGGCTCTCCTCCTTCCTGCGCGTGGCGCAGGAAGGGGGAGAGCCCTCCTCGTCCGTCCGCTCCGGAGAGTTTTTCGAGGAGCTCTCACGTGACAGCCGAACTGATCGCAGCTGGGATTAAACCGAATTCAGCTCGTAGCCCAATTGTGCACGACGACTCATCCTTTTATGAAAAAAAGATGTTTTACAATTTATGGCAAGTCAAAAACAGTTGCATTGAGATGTTAAAACACCAAACTGAAACCTTTTGCAAGGAATCATGTCTGCATTGACCACGTATACTTGTGGTGAACATGCAAACACAAAAAACACGTGCTCTGGTAGCATATGATGCATTGTCTTTGAAAGCAGAGACTGCAGGGAAGAGACAGGCTGAGACCCGGATTTGAACCGAGGTCCTCTGCGGTTGCGGGTCACAGTGCCTCCTGAGCCATCGTGCTGCCACGCCGGGGAGTCGACAGCACGGAGGGCTGGGGTGAAGGGAGCCGCAGGGGCAGCAGAGGAGAGAGCGCGACCTCCCGCTTAGCGAAGGTTCACGGCGGACTTCTGCAGAAAGCCTCGGTGGCCGAAGAAGAGATTGGCGTGGAGTGGAGTGAGATGAGAGGGGAGAGGCAGGAGAGTGCGTGGGGGGGAGTGGAGTGAGATGAGAGGGGAGAGGCAGGAGAGAGCGTGGAGAGGAGTGGAGTAAGATGGGAAGGGAGATGGAGAGTGCGTGGAGGGGAGTGGAGTGAGGTGAGAGGGGAGTGGTAGGAGAGTGCGTGGGGGGGAGTGGAGTGAGATGAGAGGGGAGAGGCAGGAGAGTGAGTGGAGGGGAGTGGAGTGAGATGAGAGGGGAGAGGCAGGAGAGTGAGTGGGGGGGAGTGGAGTGAGATGAGAGGGGAGAGGTAAGAGAGTGCGTGGGGGGGAGTGGAGTGAGATGAGAGGGGAGAGGCAGGAGAGTGCGTGGAGGGGAGTGGAGTGAGATGAGAGGGGAGAGGCAGGAGGGTGCGTGGGGGGGAGGGGAGTGAGATGAGAGGGGAAATGAACAACAGCTGCCCCGCTGTTTGTGCCACTGTAAAAGTCGGACCTCTTCGCCTCTGGAGTTCAGGAGGGCTCAACGCCAACTCCGTCAATCCGGAGACGGATGTCGGCTGCTGTCGGACGCAGCGCACGCAGCTGCGTTCCCTCGTCCACCCCTCGTCCACCCCTCGTCCACCCCTCGTCCACCCCTCGTCCACCCCTCGTCCACCGCTCGTCCACCGCACGTCCACCGCACGTCCACGTTCTTCCCGCCCCATCCCGGTCTCGGCGTCTTTGAGATTTAATGAGAGACCAAAACGCCGTGAAGTCATTTCGCCCGGGGGGGGGGGGGGGGGGGGGTGGTAGACACTGCCGTTGTGCAACAGTCGGCAAGCGATCCAAGAGGTCGCGGGTTCGACTCTGTCTCCAGGCGTCGGAGTTGGTACGACCCCCCCTCCCCCCCCCCCCCCCCCGTGTCACCATGCACTCACAACCAGAAGCTCACGTTTGCACTCCTCTCTCCTCCAAGTAAAGGCCGATGATCTGAGAAACTCCCGTTGAAGGGCGGCTCCCTTCGCCCAAGCAGCATCGACCAGCAGCGCGGTGACGTAGGTCAAGCAAACAAAAACCGCCCCTCCCGGCAGCCCCTTCACCGACAGGGCCACCCCGGTCCCGTGCGTCGCTCTCCACGCCGCGTAGACCGGCACGTCGACTCGCGCTCACACCTTGCCTGCTCCCGGC